CTTGTTTGAACCCGCGTCTAGTACAGAGTAAGAACTGTCATCGTTTTAATAGTTAGTTGTACTTACCTGTGACTCCAGTCCTGAAGTAAAAGCTTCCGTATCTGATATATTGTTTGTTATGTTGCGATAAAGGTATGACGTCCGATTTGTCGTCTGAAAATGCGAAGAATTCACTGTTTTCATATATATAAACGTTCACTTATTGTGAATAGAACGACTTTACCTTTTTCCTCCGGGTTGGATTTTAAAGTCCTTTCCTTTACGCTGTGAGTGAACATGTATATTAAAAATATTACGCTTCCGACGTAAAGATAGACGTAAAATCCCTAAAAGTACACACTTAACTGAAATTGTTGGAAGAGATTTCCTGCTGTTTACTTCCATGAAAGCTTTGCTATAACAACATACTTAAAAAGCTACCTTCTTTATATTTTCAACGCAAAAGTAGAAAGTAATCTTTACTTCATTTAACTACATATGAAGTTATTGGGTCAAAAGTAATAATCCTCAATTAACCTATTGCCAATCTTTTTTGCTTATGTTTGGGAAAAAATTGGTCAAATATTGACTACAGGTGGTAGTAGTTATAAATTATGAAATAATCCCAAGCTGTTTCTTTATTCATTATCAAGTTTATTATGCTAGAGAATATTTAGAATTTTAAAATTAAACAGGATTATTGTTAACACTAAATTTATATGAAATGTCCTTTGCTCAGAGAACAGATATTTGGATTCAGAACCCCGATGACTTAAAGTTGAAGAGAATTTTTAATCTATTCTCTATTTTTTTATAACTAACTAAACAAAGCATCCAGACACTTAAAGGTTTGAAGATTTATATTTGTGTGAAGAACCAACACCCATGTTTCGCTTTTATTTGGGTGGTATTATTAGGGTAGGTTCTTTAGCTAGATAAGCATTGATTCCAAATAGTTCGGTGCTTGTAAATGGTACGTAACGTTGTGTAAATAAACATTGAATTAAAACAGCACAATTATAAATAAAATAGTAGATAATCAAATAGTTAAAAACTAACACTAACTGAAAGAAGACAGAAGTATAAATACAATAATAAGTTAATATAGTATTAAAAACCACGTGCCTACATTCAAAGTACATACCTTGATAAAAACTCCCAAATAGAGGCGAAACGTCAGTGTTAGTTCTTTACACAAATAAAAATCTTCCAACCCTTAAGTGCCTAAATTCTATGCTGACAATTTTTAATGCTTTCTTGAAAGCTTTTTACGTTACCAAGCTTTGAATTAATAAGTTATTGAACCAATCATGAAATGTCGAGGTTTTACTAATTTAATATGAACATCCCAAAGAGAAACAAAATTACTTTGATAGTTTTTTTGAGCGGAATGGAAATTAATTTATTTCATGATTACGATAAGGATTTTCTATAATTAGTTTTACACTTACGACATAGGAGGTTTCGTTATCGGTTGCTATAGAGTCTGTTACTGGTAAAGCTACACCAAAAATGACTAATATTTTGGCGTAAAATGCGGAAACAATGTATGTCAAAGCTTCACTGAAAACAGTAAAAGATTAGATCAAAAAATTATACAGTAGAGTCAGTTACTTAAATCGTTTCAGTAATAAACGATAAAAAATTAGAAATTCGTATTATTACTTTGTTAATTGTAAGTTATCGAATAGGGGTATAAAATAAAGGACTTACCCTGAAACAACTCGAGAACTTTTTTGGGGTACAGGTTTAATTACTGGTACTGGGATGGTAATGTCTAAAGATGGCAAAGAACTTGCATGTCTTTCTATCCTGAAATCAGTTCACATTAGCACGCGTAAATAAATGTTATTAATAACGTAGGGTGTATATAAATATAATAATTCATTACCCAGAGTTATTGATTACTCCTAACGTGGTCATTTTGGTACTACGATAGTCATTCACTTAACTGATAATACAAGAATGGAATAAATGTGCACAGTATTCTTGGGATGTGCTAAATAGATTTTTCAAAAAGGCTAATTATTGTGCAAATATGTGTATTTTACAAATAAGTTGATAAACTTAACAATTTTGCGCGTCGGATCGGATTTTGTCGCTTTACAAAATTCATATTTGTGGAAAACATTAACGCTGGGTTTATTTGTAACGTTTTAATTATAAACATATTGAAGAATAATACGCAGCCCGACAGTTTCGAGTTATTTTTGGTTAATTTTATTCATTTATTTGTTTGAAACGACACCACACTTTTTAGGATGTCGTTTGTTTAAGTGTTTACTTTTGAAGAGAAAATAGTAATGATTTAGGTGTAATAATTCATTATCTTCTTTATTTTTGAAAAATATTTATATATTTTTATACTTACCTATCATCATCGTCATTTCTTTTAGTCACGATTATGATTTCACCTTCGCATTTCTGGAAAACTAGAGCTACCTGTATTTCTAACTGTATGCGAACATTAATCTAAGGCTACTGCAGCCGCTCTTAACACCTGTTTTTGATTCTAATGTGTCCCTCATTTCATATTGAATTCCATAATTTATTCTGCTCTCTGCCCTTTCAGATACCTTCACATTTCTAACGTTCTTGACGTTTTGCCCATTCACAAATAGGTATTTTAAGTTTTTTTCAATATAAATTAACAATTTGGGGGACATCAAAATTACATCTTTCAGTCAGAACTATTTATTTTAAAAATTTGTATGAAAAGGGTACACTGGTGAAGAAAAAACAAGCACCTAGTTAAAAATTTTATTACTATAGCATTTTTAACAGTCATTTAAAAATTAGAAATAGAACTAAAATTTGACATAACACAAAAATTCGATTACATAAATAGGAAAATGAAATAAAATTACCAATATTTATGTCATATTTATCTACATTTCTTAACATATATATATCTATAATAAGTGTCTACTACATTAAATAAAAGGCAACAGAGGGTGTTTATAAGGTGGTTTAAGTTTAAAGGCCGACTTCCATATTTCGAACAAGCAAATGGTGGAATGAAACCTGTAAAATATGGCTAAAGGCATAGAGATGTGGGTGATAATCGTCCAGGCCCATTCGCCATAAAATTGTAAGTGGGTCGGCCTGAATTCCGCCCTATTTTTCACCAGGACGTTGACAATCCACATGGCCATGTTGCTGATTATCAAAAATGTTACCAGTTCCCTCCCTGGTTTTTTACGTGCTTGCTCCAAATTTCTGCATCTTCTCCACCAACCGTCTAACACGAAAATTGTCTGTAAACATGTCTGAATAAACGAAAACGCTTCCACCACCAGACCCATGGTCGAATTATGGGCCGTGTTGAAGTAACATCCGATTATTGAAAACATGCAGTAGATGAACATCCCTGTTTGGGCCACGACCAGGAGGGTGTTATCCAGTCCAAGACTTGAATGTCCATCATCTAAACGAATTCTGAATTGAGCTAGTTGTGACCAAAGTCGCGTCAAAACTTTAAAGTGAAATAACGTTCTAACTAAAATCGTTGAATATTCTGGATCGCCTCAATTTGACCCAGCAGAATACTTACGCGTTTTACGACAATATTTCATTGGCCTCATTTTAATCATTGCCATGACAACAGTAATGATGGAAATAATGTAGAGAATTAGTTCCACGACTTGTACTTCTATTTCGGCGTTGTTTAGGTAAACACTTTTTTCCTCTTTGGCGCCGGGGTAGCTGGTGAGCACGAAGAACATGATCAGGGATATAATGGTGAGGACAATTACGAGTATCCCAGAAAACAAACCCTTGTGCGCCTTCGAACAGTCGACAGAGAAATGATGGTGCGATTGCATTGCAGAGCCGAAAAGATCTGAAATTAAATTCCGTTTAGCTTATTTGGAGAGCGCAACATGAATTCTTGAACGTCTTGAACGTAAAACAGAGAGAGAGAGGAAAAATTAGAAAAAACCTTACGAATAAAATTTATCCTTTTATCATCAAAGACAGTACAACTGTAGTGATAGATTTACAGCGGCAAAAGATAAGCATGCTTAGATTTGCAGATTATATAGTAGTATTAGCATCTAGAAGGAGGACTTAGAGATAGCTTTAAATAAAATGGAAGCGGTACTAACAGATCAGTACTGTATGAAAATAAATAAAAGTAAAACTAAAATACTGGTATGCAAGGGAAGAAAAAGTAGTGAAAGAACGAATATAAAGATAGGAGACGAAAAATTAGAAGATATGACCGATTGTACGTATCTAGGAAGTCGGATAAGTCAGGACGGAAGGAGTAGTAGGGATATAAAGCAGAGGATAGCGCAGGGTCGTGTCGCCTTTAATAAAAAGAAGTCACTTCTATGCTCGCGAACGGTTAATTTAGAAATTCGAAAAAGGTTGTTAAAGGTGTATGTTTGGAGCACGGCGTTGTACGGGTGCGAAACATGGACAGTGGGAGCGGCGGAAAAGAAAAGGTTAGAAGCGTTCGAAATGTGGTGTTATAGGCGGATGATGAGGATATCGTGGGTAGAAAAGGTTAGAAATGAAGAGGTATTGGAAAGAATAGGAGAACAGAGGACTCTATGGAAGTCAATAAAAAATAGGCGAGATAGGTTGGTAGGACACCTTCTCAGGCATGAAGGTCTAGTCAGAGACATATTAGAGGCAGAAACAGGAGTTAGGAGGGGTAGAGGTAGACCTAGATTAGATTACTCTTCGCAAATAGTTAAGGATGTGGGCTGTTCTAGTTTTAGGGAAATGCGAAGTTTAGCTCAGGATAGGAAAGAGTGGAGGTACGTGTCCAACCAGTCTTAGGACTGATGACCTTATGATGATGATGATGATGATGATCGGCGAATGCAGTAGAACAAAATCAAAGATATTAATTTGTAAATATTGTTGATCATAAATATCTATAGAATAAGTTGTTTAACTTGAAAAAAAATATTGGTAATGATTTATTGTTATATCTGCTTCTTATTCATTGTTTCTCAATTTGCATTAATGTGTAACATGAAACAATAAATAATGAACACCTGGCCTACCGAATGCGCAGTGTTTTTTAACAATAAAATAATTAATTGCTACTGCTATATAGCTATAAAAAAATATTTTACAATAGGAAGGAATTGTTCAATATACACTATGTTCAACGAACAATTTTTAATGTCATTTCCAGGAGTGTGCAGGATATCTCATAGTAAATGTAGAATATATATGTATATATAACATTTTATGGAGTGTATAATATTTTATTTTATTAAACACCCGTATAATTTGATAAAACTTACGCCAGTTGAAGTGGCCATGGTGGCCGGGCGACCTGACGTCGTTGTTGATACCACTCTGGGAACTGGCGTCCTTACTCTCTTTCGTGTTTGCTTTAATTTCCTTCCACATTTCGAATAGGATGACGGCGCATATAAGACTGTATTCGATTTTGCACGGGAACAAAAAGGGACTGGCGTTCTGAACCAGAGATCCCATTACATGCCCTTCGAAGCAAAACTTTCCGTGTTTGGTGTTGTTGTGTCGCTCTGAACCAAAATTACAAATATGATTAGCGGAACCTTTGAACTATTCCCTCTACAGTAAAGGCTGGAATGGGTGAATGAACAAATACATACTACTATCTCCTTGATTAGGAAACCAGGAATAGACTTTACAGAAGGAACTTGTAATAAAGCTGATTTATTTCAGGACGTTGAAGGCCTGGGCGATTTAAAAACATAGTACTTGAGGAGTTAATAATGTTAAGCGCGGATACTCCTGATTCCTAATGGTTTATAATGCAACTGTTTGTTTCGAGATGAATTGCAAACTTATCTCCAATAACAATTATCAGGATATTTATATTTAATATGTAGTTATTAAGTTTTCATGTTCGTCGCCGATAACGGTGACCTATAACGATCGCAGTCGTGCCTATTTTCTTGTAATGAGAAAGGAAGAAGGACCTTTCTACTTCTGCCTCATCGTAAAGTAAATAACGGTCGGTAGAATTATTCTTGACGATATGATAAATGTATATCGACCTGTGTGGTATATAATTACTAATTTCATTTTAAAAATTAATTGGTTGGAGATTAAACTATTGGATTTTGTATTCCTTTCAAGACGATAAAATTTTTCAATAAGAAGAGTCCTTACCTTCGAAGTGTACGATTTCATGTTTAGTTTCTTCTACAAGGACGTAAAGCCATTCGCACAAGTTGGTGGCGATCATATGCATTAGGCCGAATCTTGAAACGATGTGGTGTCTACCAATTTGTACATCCTGAAAATTTCTCTAATTGGAATAATCTGTGCAAAGTATACATAAAAGGATGTATGTGTGTGCGTACGTATGTGTATGTGTGGTGTGTAATCGTGAACTCGTGAACTTTTTGCGATGTATTATTTGTACGATAGTGAAGGAGGAAGGAAGAAAGTTTTATGATGGCGATGTCTCCGTGAAATTGAAAAATATTTGAAAAATGCAGAGTTCCCAAACGTGTATAAACGTGTAAAATTGTGTGACAGGGGATAAGTGTAATGGCGCAATAAATAGAGCCAAGTGTCAAGTGTCATCTTTATCGACAATGAAGATGCAATAACCAACTTTAAATGAAACCGAATTTTACAGAATTTACACTTCACTTCAACAGACAGACGCAAAGTCTTACTTAGATCTGTTGCAATACTTATAATAGGAAATGACGAAAGTCAGTGTTACATAATATTAATCGGCTGTGGTCAACTCTTAATTTTCACGACAATTACATTTACTACGAATCCTGTTGATTCATCATTGCTCGGTACGCTCGTTATCTGTTCCTGGTCCTAATAAAAAGTTAATTTTGCGAGCTTTCGCCGTTGCATTTCAGCTAAGTTTGAATTGGAAGATGAATTTCGCTCGAATCCTGGAATTTGCTTTTACTTGTTTTATTTACCTCCTTGAGAACGTGTTAAAATTATATAAGTACGAATGAAAATGTAATTGTAGATCGAGAAGTATCCTTGAAAATGACAGAGGTACAATTTTACAGTCGCTGAACCAAAAGTACCAAAAATTGCGACAACTTTTTATATCACTTAATAATTTATTTGTTTAGAAACAGCTTGGCATGTCTCAATTATCTGTATAAATAATAGCAATTTGTAGGTAGTGTTCGCGTAAGTAGCATATTTTGCATTCTGTAAAAAGATTTCGGGACGATCGGTACCACGGGTTAAGTATTCCAATAGTTTAGGAGGGATATGTAGTGTAAGAGAGAATGAAACATTAAGGCGTTAATGTTATTATATGTTTATTAAATAAAAAAAGAGTGAAAAAAATGGTTACCTTGCTGTTGAGAAATATGAACTGTATCTGTAGTAGGGTGAGGCACATCCTGGTGGCAGGCGTGATGGCGTTCAGTAAGTTGGAGTGGCAATGATCGTTGCTTTTGAGTTCGAAATAACGGCCGAACTCCAGACCCGAATAAACCATACTCCCAATCCCGAAAGCTAAACATAACGTCGAATTAATGGGCCCAATTGGGCGACTATAATCGTCCTCGTAAGTTTCATTACGTCTAAATTTCCTGCGCTTCCCGCCCCAAACTATGCAGCTTTTGCCTAATTACTATTTGCATTTGTTACATAATCGCGTACAGATTACCGACTAAATAGCTAATCTCTACCTACATACCTAATAATATGCCGCGAGTTGGCGCGGCAAACCGCCTTCTACGTGTAGCAGGTATTTCTCAAGATTTTGGCGATAATCGTTGAAGCATACCGTTTACACGTAGATAGTAGTTACAGCAGTGATGCTTTAATAATTTTTGCTCAACTAAAATGAAAGATAACAGTCTGATAATATGATTAGTGATGTAATAACATAGTCCGCTATATTTTACGTTCGGGCGACGGGGCGAGAAGGCAGTCTATAAAGGGTAGATAGAATATAATGTGTGAACATATAATAAAATAATTCGAAGTGGTCTGTATTCTGTCGAAACTTCCAGACGCGGATCGCCATTTCGATCTTTTTGGATCTCATCAGCGCGCCGCAGACAGCTCCGACCTTGTTGGAGCATACGTAATCCTAAAATGTAGCATCATACTACAGATGGCGTTCACCACGCCATTTGTGGTATTTTCTGTGTGAACATATGTTTTAAATTATTTATACAAATAAACTGCGGAAGTATAGAATACTAGTTCTATGATAGGTCTGGGTGATTGTTAAATTTAACAATCGATTATACGCTGTATGAAAATAATCGGCTATTGAGACGCGGCAAACGGTCTCTCGATTTCTTCCGAGGATGTTCAGGCTCCGTCAATTTCACTTCAAACGGAATTTGATTTGATGTGGATGGTATTTACCTCACTTCGTTCGTATTAATAACAATTTATTAAAAAATCATCGCTTGTCATTATCTAGATCTAAATGAATATAAAACGAAATAAAATGCGGCGCTTGACCGGATGATTGTCGCGTTTGTTGCTTCTGCCGATTTCGTTTAGAGCTTTGGAGGATATAAACGAGGCAGATGCAGATGTGATTATTAGATGTACCTGTACGCACGCTAATAGAAAATTTGCAGGCACTATCTAATGTGCCTATTGTTTGTTATCAACATACTTAGTCGCGTGTAGATGTTTAGGATGTTTGCGATTAGTACGTATTTATTATGGACGAAATCGCTAATATTTATTGTGTCTGATTATATATGCTGCTGTATTATTTAAATAAATAATACGTTAACACCTACTTGTTAATGTTATATTTTCAAACCCTTTCAATGCTGTGCTAATTTTTTTTATTTGTAAACCTTGCCCATCTTTAAAGTCTAAAAGGTCGAGCTCTTCAAAACGCTTTTGTTTTCTTACCAATTGCTCCTAATCGGAGATAAAAACTGCCGTATCTGATGGGGTGGTGGTTACTTTGTTCGTCAATTTTTTTTTCCAGAACCGTACTGTCAGTTTTTGCATCTTTATCTGAAATTTAGGAAGAATACATTTTGTCTTGAAGATTTTTCAAGAGATACTTCCTTACAAAATTAATTTGTTGCGGAAATAAAGAAAACATTTATTTCCTAAATGAATAAGAGAGAAAGTTTGTTGCGTGGTAAATTGGTAAATAATCTTAGGTAATTCTTTTGTGTGTATTGGATTATCACATTCTCTAAGTCTCTGTCTTTTTAATATCGTAAGATAAGCTGATCCGACGGGACTTGAACCTTGACGAAACTCTTGAACAAACTAGAGCGGGTGGATCGGCTTGCGAGTTTCGATGATTTAGGGAGTCGGACCATAGGTTCAACCTTAATGGGGTTCGAAATGTGGTGTTGCAGGCGAATAATGAGGATACCGTCGATAGAGAAGGTTAGAAATATTATTATGAATAGATCAGAGGACTATGGAAGTCAATAAGAAATAGACAAGATAGGTTAGTAGGACACCTTCTCAGGCATGAAGATCTAGTCAGAGACATATTAGAGGCAGAAAGAGGAGTAGAGGTAGCACTGGATTAGATTACTGTTCGGAAGTAGTTAAGGATGTGGATGTTCTAGTTTTAGCGAAATGCGAAGATTACCTCAGAACAGGATAGAGTGGAGGTGTGTGTCCAGACAGTCTTAGGACTGACGACCTTATGATGATTAAGATAAGCTGTCATATTTTATTTATTAAAAAGATGAATTTTTCAATATGTAGGTACACAGACGTGTAACACTTACGGTATGATTTTACTGCTGATGAAACTGCTTTCTCTTTTATTAAAGAACCGTACATGTAAGCCACAAACAGTATACTTCCTAGATANAGGCATGAAGATCTAGTCAGAGACATATTAGAGGCAGAAACAGGAGTTAGGAGGGGTAGAGGTAGACCTAGATTAGATTACTGTTCGGAAATAGTTAAGATGTGGGTTGTTCTAGTTTTAGAGAAATGCGTAGATTAGCTCAGAATAGGATAGAGTGGAGGTGTGTGTCCAGCCAGTCTTAGGACTGATGCCCTTATGATGATGAAGATAAGCTGTCATATAAACTTAATTTTTGTTTTTTATGGTAATAGCAGTAACTTTGCTAATCGAACGGTAACTACAGAGTGCAGACTATACTAATCATCCCGTGCAATTGATTCCTGATTCCTTCTTGTTCCAACTCTTGGAAAGATATAGTTGATAATAATTACATTCTTGATTAGTCATTAGCCATAATTTGTATTTCTTTGACCTGCGGTGGAAAGATATTTGAATATACGGGTGAATTTCCTGAAGCTTACGAAAGTAGCATGTGGACTAAAACAGTTCCTTCGTCTCGTGAAGCATGCTTAGTTGATTTTTGACCCCTTAAGTATTCCAATCTGCGGCTATTGAACATATACGCATGTTGAATGTTCAAATTGGATCTTAACAATTTTATTAACAACTCCCAACCAGTCTCGGGTTGATAATGCTCACATCAGAAGTGGGTGAAACCGTAACCAAATTTTGTTTATTTATTTTTCTATATTTATGTGAACTTCGATTGGTTATTTTTAGAATATATAAAACTGGTTTTTCTTTTATTTTCACATTTGATTATACTTTTCGACTGAAAATGTTTTGACATGTATTATGCTCATTTACGCACAATTTCGGAAACTGAGAAAATGGAAATACCTGCAAAGCTTTTATTAATATCTATTAATTCATTAATTTTTAAGTTTAGTGAAACTATTTTGTTGTGGGACAATTTGCCTTGAATAAAGACTACATTTTATTTATTTTTTTCCTGAATGAGTTAAAAAGTTTTTGCAGTAACTAAAATACAGGTAATAATTAAGCCGTGAACATTTTTTTATTGTCCAAAGTTAGATGCTGTTACGTCGAGATTCAGAAAATGTTTGAGCAACATTTGTACCAAGTTTCCCATAAAAAGTGTACCCTTCCTTTTCTTGTGAAGCAACCGCTAACGACCTGTTCGGGGGCTGTCATTTTGGTTCGTCGGAAAAGCATCTAGTTATGCCAGGCATCCTGTCAAACGGGATAAAAGACTAATCTGCGGTCTTAAATTCTTCCGCAAATTCCTCGTTTGTCGGACTGGGTTTATTAAGTTACAACTGAAGGTCCCAACGACCCCTAGTCCGGTGTTCTATACATACATCTGTCATTTTCATCCGCAGCACCGGAGGATCGTTATGAAATCACGTAGCATGTAGGAAAGAGAACATAAACNGCTTGCGAGTTTCGATGATTTAGGGAGTCGGACCATAGGTTCAACCTTAATGGGGTTCGAAATGTGGTGTTGCAGGCGAATAATGAGGATACCGTCGATAGAGAAGGTTAGAAATATTATTATGAATAGATCAGAGGACTATGGAAGTCAATAAGAAATAGACAAGATAGGTTAGTAGGACACCTTCTCAGGCATGAAGATCTAGTCAGAGACATATTAGAGGCAGAAAGAGGAGTAGAGGTAGCACTGGATTAGATTACTGTTCGGAAGTAGTTAAGGATGTGGATGTTCTAGTTTTAGCGAAATGCGAAGATTACCTCAGAACAGGATAGAGTGGAGGTGTGTGTCCAGACAGTCTTAGGACTGACGACCTTATGATGATTAAGATAAGCTGTCATATTTTATTTATTAAAAAGATGAATTTTTCAATATGTAGGTACACAGACGTGTAACACTTACGGTATGATTTTACTGCTGATGAAACTGCTTTTTCTTTTATTAAAGAACCGTACATGTAAGCCACGAACAGTATACTTCCTAGATATAAGTATAAGTAGAATCCTTGGTAGAAGAAGGGTCTAACGTTAGGCGAAATTATTTCTGTTATGGGGAACGCCATTCCCAAAACTACTAGAAGCTTGGCGTATAAAGCAGATAGAATTTTCGTGAGCGCATCGCTGAAATAAATTGCAGTTTAATTTTATTTATATAACGTTTTCATAACTTTTTTCGGTTGCTTACTCTCCCAATCTTCGATTCCTGAGGATTTCTCGGTCTGTTTGTTTCTTATTTTCGTCGTCATGCAGAGATCTGTCGCTGTGGCTTTGAAATAAACTGAAAATGGAATATATTTACTAATTCTCCATTTTTCCTACGAGCAAGGCTTTCCCAAACCATCTTGTTTTTCGCGGAAGGTGAAATTAAATAAGGGGTATCATTTTGATTAAATTTGTTGCCTTTAAATAAAGTATGGAACAAATAGGAAAAAAAATTAAAACCAAATTGGTTATATTCTTATTTATTTATTTTAAAGTAAACTAATTTTGTTTTCCGAAAGTACAGTTCATGATTTAATAAGTAAATGAAAAAGTAAATTAATAGTAACCTCCGTGTGTTTTCTTTTTTTGACCGGCAAGTAGAGTAATGTTTCCAAATCGGAAGAAAGGAAATTTTTATTTGAACAGGCATTTCTTTCCCCGAGCTCTCTTTGTTTTTAACCCCAATAAAGTTTACCCAACGAGAAATTTCCATCCCTTAAACTCGTGATTCTGCCTATGGGGGATAACGCTCAACGAGATATTTGGACCCTAACTTTCGGTTTACCGCGACATAAAATTTAGTTGGCTGCGGATTTGAGAACTCGTACGATAACTTCATATCGCAAGTATCGATCCCTTTTACGTAAAAGATATAAACGAACAACGTCGATACATAGCTATACATTTTATTAACAAGTCATTCTTCCACTGGGAAATCTCACAATATTGATTGCGAAACAACGCCTATTATGGCGAAAACGCATGGTCATACAAGTAAAAATTGTTATGCAGTCCCTGAACCTTGACCACTTAAAGAGTAGATTTAACTAAAATCTTGTATTTGGATCGTGTACCGAGGGTTCTGTACAAACTTCGTCCCTATTGGGATCCGTCAAATGGGCATACACCATCTGGTGGCAAAATTTATAACTCGAATGAGGGAAAAATTTACATAGGAACTATGCACGCAAATTTTTTTGATGATGGAGTCGACGAAGTTTTCTTCTAAAGTTAAATCAAATAAAAAGTTAGTATGTTCAGTGAAAAGCCGCAATAGCACTTCAGACATAGATCTTCACTCTTCACCTACATTATCTAGTTTCCAATAAAAACTAACCGTTAAAAAAGTAAAAAATTTTTTGATGATGGAGTCGACGAAGTTTTCTTCTAAAGTTAAATCATATAAAAAGTTAATATGTTCAGTGAAAAGCCGCAATAGCACTTCAGACATAGATCTTCACTCTTCACCTACATTAACTACTTTCCAATAAAAACTAACCGTTTTATATATGTAAAAATATATTCGGAAAATTAGAGAAAAAAGTAAACTAATAGAAGCTTGGATGAAAGCAGTAGGTATCAAAGAAGTGAATTCCGGAATAAAAATTTGTTCACGTCATTTTAATGCACATGATTATATTTCAGCAAGTATTTACCATCAGCCATAACCTTAATATTTAAAACTAGAATCATACTAAAATTATAAAGTGAGAAATTATTTATTCCTGTGTAATTGATTTAACACAATTCTAATGATACGATATAAGTATTTTGAGGTTAAGAACCTACCTGCTGCAATACAACAAAGTTGCAATAATGTGTTTGCAACGTTCTCTTAAATCGGCTTTGCACGTGCAAGTCATTGATATGATATTGCTTAAATCACCCAGAATCACCTCACCAATTATATAACGTGAATCACTTTTTAAATCCGAAGTTTGTAAAAAGTAGGCAGTAAACTTGACGGAATTTGAAGGCTAGCTTCCGGATTTGTTATTTCCGAATTTTATAATGTGATTGGCATTAAAAACACGCTCACCTTCAACGAAATTTCCTTTCCGAGGCTTTGTGTCAGCCCAATCACATATTGTGTCAATACTTATCATTTTATCGTAATTTAAAAACTTGGAAATTGCACGGTACACTATAGGAACTACGATAAATTTTCCCTAATCGGCGCCATGTTTTTAGGCTCCTCCCATTTGACGGATCCCAATAAGATGAACCGATCCTCGAAGATTTTCCCCCTTTTTCCCAAATATGTTTCCTCCAAAATTAGTCCCAGAAACGTACAATTACAATATTGAAAAGAATAAGTTCATTTACAAAAAATACGAAAGGGGAACTAGCAGTATTGAAAATGATTTATTTAGCAGTTTTCTGTTTGACATGTGCAATTTTTTGTGAAAATATTTCTTCAAATACTTGTTTAGAAAAGATTGAGTTAGACGTCGTATTTTGGTTCGGACACCCGTTAAAACTTATACAATTTGTTCAAAATTTCCACTTACGTCATAAAGTATTTTCTCTGGGCCATAACGGCATGGGCAGCGGATAAAGCTATGGCTTGCGACGGGCGTCTGAGAGCTGCTATTATGGCCGAACCGCGTCTCGACGAAGACCCTAAGTGCTCTTGACTGTTGAACTCGTGAGTTCTAGGTGGTGGCACTAGTTCGTTTGGATTTTCTGGATGGGTATACAAAGGTTGAGATTCTTCAGGTGTCGAAGCACTGCTACAAAGCAAGTAACACTTAAAATTCGGAAAAATAGCAACGAAATTGACTTTTTCCGTGCAATCAATGAATTTATTGTTATCTGTAATGGTGCCAGTGATAGTTACTATTTTTTGACGTTTAACATGTTAGTTATTAACCAAAAATAAGGAAGGAAATGATCGGTATATATCGTCACGTAACTTTGTTATTGTTAATTATTATTTTATTTTTGAATTAAATATCTCTATATTGCAATATATATGGCATTTTTTATTTAATCAAGTCTCACAGATATACTTAAGTGATTTATTTAACAGGGAATCGCACCATATTCGTACTTAATTATTCATCAAACAACCTGTTATTTACGTTGCTTTGTAAATTTATATCACTGTTTACTCTCTCGTTGCATAATATTTATACCATCTGTTTATGTCCGGTAGGATGCTGGGTATTCTTTTATTCATGGAATTTTGATTAACATTTCCGGAAACTTCCCGTAAGTTCCTTTTCGTCGTGCAGTCTGTTTGCTGGATAGTTTATTATCGTTGCTGTAGGCTTTCGGCAGCGTTATGAAAGGTGCCGCCGGCGTATCGACTGTAGCCTACGGCATTTGTTAATGATAATATTTTGAAATTTTCATCAGTATTTCTAGAAATTTTCTGTTAGTGCCTTTTCGTCGTGATGTTTGTTTGCTGGATAGTTTATGAACGCTGCTGTAGGCTTTCAGTAGCGTTATCAAAAGTGACGCCGGCATATCGACTGTAGCCTGCGGCATTCGTTTATACCCATATTTTGAATATTAAACGACAAGAAAGATTAAAGTGGAATTTTCTTTGCATTATTTATGTTATTGTCAAAACTTGTTAGTCCTATTCCAGATAGAGAAACCACTTTACGTGGCAGATTTAATAATAGCTACCTATTTATGTTGACCTACCTTTCACCTCGTTCATTTTCATCCACTTGGGGTAATTTGCTAATTAGTAGCCCATTGCCAGGCAAAGAGCCGAATCGGTCCCTGTACCGCATCTTGGATAGTTTAAGGCTATAATAACAAGAACTGCACTTAATATTCTTTAAAACAGGATTGCGATTTCAAAATTTAGTTTCATTTAAGGAACTGATACGAATTTTAGATAATACATTAATAGAAAGGTTTTTTAAAACGTTAACGATTGTTTATAACGAACTGGATAAAGTTTCATTGAGCCTATGTTTTTATATTGGACAAAATTTACATACGGATTATAACTTGTACGTTAAGGTTCTTAAAATGAAATATTGCCGAATAATGCTATTACTTTGAACGTGATATGTGGTCATCGAATTCGAATTCTATCAGATTAGCTTTTATTATTTACAAAAACAGATTAAATCGATTGGCACTCTCCATTATTTAATGTTTGTTTCTGTGATATTTAATGTGTAAATTCTGGCTCGTGACGTTAATGTTTAGGATACAACCGTTTCATTAGCATAATTATTGATGAAATCTGAAGTCCTCTTTTATTCCTATTAAAAACGATCTTTTAAATTATGGATGTGGAACTTTTTCAATTTTCGTTTATTTAAAGAATAAGTTCACAACTCCTTTAAATGTAGCTTTTTCATATTTTTTGTTTAATTTCGAGACCTATAGGCACTCAAATGGTGTTAAGTATTTATGATAATACCCATGTTAATTAACTGATTCAATAAACCGTTTAGCGGATACGTTAAAATTTTTGTTGTTTGCCAAACGCAAAACACTAGCAAACCATCAGTCGCAAAAGAAGAAGGAAAATGAGTCAAAGTCACTCTAAAACACGTATTAGATATGTAGCTACAATACGTACATATATTTAATAAATAAAATTTTAGGAAAAGTTTGTTGTTTGTTGGAATTCGAAGAAAATTTTCAAAATATTAGATATGCATAATGTAAAAAATGTTTTAGTTTATTCTTGTAATTTGCTCTTAGACTTATTAACATTTTCCTTAGTGGATTATCCTTATAGCAGTAGATATAAAGCGGAGGCGTTAGGAATATTTAACGAAAATTAAGCCAAGAAAATTAAAAACAGACAAAAATTCTAAAATCGTAGATAATTTCATTTAAAGTAGTAACGGGAACTTTATAACCTTTTCCAATTACTCGATTGCTCGACGTTGTAGTAGGTAAATTACCCCACTTTTCCCTAAGGAAGGGACAGTTAGGATCTGATATTAATATTGGTGTTAAATTGTGTTGTGGAATGAACTTTAGTTTTAGAACAGCGAAATACGACCCGTCGGAGAGTTGAGAATTTTAGTTTAGGTGGTATAAAGTTTTGTAGTAAATAAATGGGAGAAATTCTGGAAGAAGACGTTTGTTACATTTTCAATTTCAACTGCAGTTACACTTTGAAACGGTCGAGCGGGAGGGCGGGCTCTTGAAAGCGGCAGAAACGTCAGACGAAGAAGGGAGCATAAAGATGATGATGATGATAATAATAATAATAATAATAGTAACACTAATAATAATAGTAAGCGTAACTGAGGACCGTATTTAATTTTTAAGCTACTTTATTCGCAAAGTTTAATTAGAAAGTCGAGACAAACTAATTGTTTACCTGTGCTCTTCTTGCATGGTGTCCATGCGCGAGTCCCGTCTTATTATTCTCGTTTTTGCTTCTTCTATCTGGATGCTGTTCCTTCCCGGAACGTCCTATTAAAAGTTCAGGCGTTCTGGATAATTCAGGATTTAACAGTTTGTTTATAATGGAAGAACTGCACGCGTATCACATAACATCAGGCTCTCTCCCGTTTATCGCGTTCAATAAACGTTCAGCGACGAAGTTCGCGCCTGTTTGCCGAAATAACTGACGAACTTGACATTTTTTCGGCGAGATAATCAGTGGTAAATATTTTCGATTGTGGAAGTGGGATGGCAAGTCTCGTGTTGAGTCACCATTCATTTTTCCTAATTTATTTAACAAAATTTTAATTCGAAATACAGTAATGCGCATAATAATGGATGAATGACTTTTCTGACGACGAAAATACAAATATGTTATTGTTATCTTTATTGGTTAGAACTTATTGTTGTTTAATATAAAACTTGTTAATTGGACGACGATACTAATGCTTCGCTCACGACGGTGGTTTAAACGTAAAGTTATACAAGGTGTAACAGGAACAAATGCCGATCTGTAGAGGGTGTAAAATGGTGGTTAAGGGCAAAAGAAATTTTTAAGAAAATCACAATAATTTATAGTCCGAAGCCGCTCCTGTGCGTGAATTAGCAACACAGGTATCTACCGAATGGCGTAGCGTGACACAAACTCTGCAGTTACATGAATAGAGAATGTAAATATTGCCGTGGGTCAAACGTCTAAGTTAAACATAAACATTTTAATTCTACATCTACTGATTAGAGTAATAAATTAAATAAGTACCTTACAGGCAGCTCTATGTAAACGTACGAATGCAAAAGAAATAAAAACAGTAAGTTGAGTAAGCATTAATCGGTCTGGATAATTGTAATTTTTATTAAGGCAAGTTACCACACCATCATTGAGGTATTGCCAAAGTGCGTTGCCTTTTTGTGGGTGGTTGTATGTAAATTACCATCTCCAAAAATTTCGCACCGCACATTTATCGAAAACTAAGCCAAAAGTCTTATCGTTTTTTGGTGATTTTTGATTGGAAATTCTAAACAAGTAGAAACATAACAAAATTGATAAAATAACAATAGTCTAAATAAAAGAATTTCCTTTATTGGGTTTCAAAAAGGTTCTATTATGAACGTTTTCTCGGCGCTATACAAATTGTAGTACCTACTGTAAGAGTATAGAACTAATTAATTAAAAAATATAATACAATTAGTTACTGCTATGTCAGCAAAAAACTGTTGAAGAAATTTTAAGGGTTATCATCCTGTTGGGTTATGAGATTTTACTGTCCTTTTCACTGAGAATCGTTTAAGTACATATGAAATATAGTTTCATCAAACGTTTAATTTGTGATGTACATTTTCATTAAATAACGTTTTGTGACGATGACGACAAATGTTGTGCGGTTTCAGTTTGTGAACATATCTTGTTTCTGCAGAAATCCTTATTTGTAAATTATTACATGCGAATATGAGAAATTAAGCTTTTAATTAAATGCACAATGGAGTACGTGTTTTAGTAAAACTTAGTCGACAGTGACCAAGAATTAATAGAAACTGCAGTTAGATCTCGATATTGGACGCGGATGGAACCAAATTTATATTGGCGTTTGTATGAAGTTTTGTATGAAGTAATTAAAATTTAATTTTAACATTTATTACAATTTGCTCTTGGAATATTTTGCAGAAAATTTGATTAATTTATTTATGAATAATACCGATACCAATCCAAAGTATGATACTTGTGTTAAAGGAAAATATTTTTAACCCTGATGTAAACATGTGGTCATAAAAGTCTGTCTGTCTTTTACAAAAGCAATGTACTTTATTTATGGTATAAACGTAAATTAATTTATGATTTGATAACAGATGTAAGATCTCAAACATGAAAAAATGATAGCTAGGTGGAAGGGTTATTTTTTAATTTTTTGTTAATATTTGAGCATTTTGCCTGACTTGTATAATATTCGTAATATATCTCAAAAAATAAATGTCTAACGTATACAAATATGCTTAAAAAATTGTAAACGGAAAGTTTTAATTTTAAGACATCTCTACAGGGCCTTTACTTTATATTTTTATTGCGCGTAGCAGAAATACTTATTGCACCAATTTGCATGAACACATTAAGTTATAAAGTTAATTCGATGATAATAGTCTTGTTTTTATTTTTTGGAATATTCGCCGGTGTAAAGTAAAATGATGAATAATTTAGATAAAGACAGTAAAAAGCTTTAATGAAGATTAAGAACAATTTGACATTTGTCTAGAATTGGTTTTTCATTTTCCAGCTGCAATTGGACATAAGAATAAGTATGTGACAAAAATCAAACGCTATAGGTACAGTTTTATTTTTTATTAAAAATACATTTAAAACCAAAATTTTCAATGTTTTATTCGATTTTATAAGTCTATAGACTTATAGAGAATCTAGTATATATTATGGGATGCATTTTATACAAAGATGTACAAGAAGTGACTCATTTGTCTCCCGTTGAAACCGTCCAAAATCCTATTCCGTTTCAATTAAACTCTAAAAATTGTTAATAGATTTACTTTGTTACATAGATAGTCCATTATCTCTCACACGACTTGTTGCAACAATGGTTTGGTCAGGTGATAACAAAATAAAAAACGACAGAAACGTAGAGCACGGTGGATAATTTGCTTGGCATCACCCCAGCCGTAAATCCATTTCATGTAAAACAGTTTCCCGGTTATCGGGCTCTAAATGTATTCCTCCCCGTTGACAGGACGTCTGGTTTAATGTACGCCAAGAGCAGCCGATTGCCTGTATTAGGTGCGTTTACATTGCAACCTCTGATGTTGTCAATTCGGGCGCTGTTAGCGTCAAATAAATTAAATTTCGGCATGATTATCGACAACACGTTCTAAATTGCAATAGGCAGGTGTGTTACGCGGTCTCGCTGCCCAAATAACTGCCGTACTCATGTACCTGTCTGTGGTCTGATCGTCTGATGCTTTTCCAACTAATTCGCTTTGGGAATTGTCAACGGAAAGGTTACCAAGTTAGCAAACAGCTTTTACAATAGCCCCGAAGTAATGTTTAATTTGTTACTCTTTTAAAGGAAAGTGAACAAAAAAACACATGTAGCTTGTTGGCTACTAATAAGTTGGAAAAGAGGTTTTAGTTTGGCAAATTGTCGAACATTATGAAATACTACAGTACCAATTGATGCATATAGATGTACCGTTAGTCATTTGATATTATTTGATTTGCTGGCATGGATTTGGTTAATGATTTATTGATTGGTGTACTGATGGGAGCTAGTAAATCGTGACTCTGATATGGTGGTTTGGATACATTCCTGATTAAGAGATAATGTTGTTCACTAGGTAGTAATTAAAACATTTTTTGTGGTTCCATACTTCTCCGTTCACCTGATGACTATAAATTACTTTACCCCGTTAGTAGTGCAAGTATCTATTAAGTGAAGAGAGAGTCGAGTCTAAAATTTAACGAGAGAGGTCCACCTAAAAAAATTCCCTTCTCCCTGCATGTCGGAGGTTCTTGAAATGCTGCAGAGTTCAATTTTGTAGTCACTTAAGGACACTGTTTCCGAAACCCCCGATTGATTCCTGAATCTAAAATAGCGATTTGCGCATTCTGAATTGAATTTGCGCCTTCCCATTTACCGTTTGCGGAATTCGCTTTCTTGTTTTTTTCTTGTTCCCATTTTGCGTTTGAAAAATAAATTTTAACAAACTTAATCAGGGTAGCGCGAAGTAGACTGTGCCGCCCCATTCGTCCGGGTCCAAATTTGATTCTCTCTCTCATCGGCAACGACGGCGACACGATGACTATGGCGCCTCGCCGACCGACCGACCGACACGACGTGTCGCGTCGGGCCGCGTCGCGACGCCGTCGTTCTCGTCGTCGCTCTATCGCTGCCGTTCAATCCAATTTTCACGGCAAATTGTTCATAACGGAAGTTCATATCCGGAGCCGTACGTACCATGTACATCGACGGTGGCTGGGGTGCCGCCATCGAGTTCGAGGCGCGAAGATGAGGCGGTAATTCCCGTATCCGGCCCGGGATGGATAAATTGACGCCGCGATATTTCGCCCTCGACTGCAGAAGCCAACGTTCGTAATAGCGTTCAATCGACATGATGGTACGAGCCTCCGGCGTGGCGCACAGTCACTCCTCGATCCTATTAACCATACGTGAAATTTTCGGCCATAATTGGTCCCAGTAATTTGTCATTATCGAATGTGATACGTTTAGAATACAAATGCCGGAGGCGCTACGTCAATCGGCAAGGATATTTAAGGATTTTGACCGTTTGGGAATTGGAAGCCAACACGAATTTCTTCTGCAAAATGCGTTTTTTGCTAGCTTTGTATGAGATGTACACAGCTTTAACAACTTAACTAAAAATGCTCATAATGCCATCTAAATAAACTCTAACTGGAGGCCGATTAGGATTTTGATACAACGGCTTGGCTTATATGACACTTTTTTGTGTAATACACTATCAGAACGTAATCAATTATTTTAGGTTTCTTTGTAAAGTCCGATTAAATTAATTCATAGGCGAAGACGGAAAAATGACAATACTTTGTCGCAGTTTGGTGAAACACCATTGCTGTGAGTAGTATTAAAAAAAATTTTTGAAACATTAAATTTGTTTTTGGCATCTAATTATTGATTGCTTACTTTGTTTTACAAATATTGAATTAATTAGTTTATGCTTTTATTATTAAACTAAATAATACCTGCGCTTATTTGTTTGGTAATCTTATAGCAGTTTCTTACTACCCGTATCCTTGTAATACATTAATTAATTAAGATTAGGTTTTAAAAAGTTTGTTGAACGCTATGTCTTCTGTAACTTTGTGGGTCCCCACACTATGCAGGTTTCGTCGACAACGAACCAGTCGAAAAACGGTTACGATGTCGCGAAACCCGAAATATGTGAGGATTTCGCAAACTTCCTGGAAAGGACGAAAACCCTCCGTGACTCAAACTTCCCTCGACTTTGTACCTTATAACAAACAAATAACGGAAAACGAGAAGAATTAGTACTTTTACAGTACATACCTACATGCATTGGTATTTATTAAAACTAAAAATTAAATTCTTTGAAAACATTTTTTGCAATCTACTGAACCTTTTTAGTGAGGATTCTCTAACCAGTTGGTGTTCCATTTTTCAGTGACATATTACTTGATTTTTCGTCTGGCCTCTGGTTTGGTTAGAGGAATTACTTCGGGATATATTTTGT